CTTCCTCTGTCTCGGCCTGACGTCGATGACGCGTGGCATTGGCTTTATTCCGTCGTCGATTTTCGATGTACGGTTAGCCATATTCCTCGTGGAAAGAAGCACAGCCACCGCCGCAGCGCCGACTGAGCTGGGCTGCATTCCAACGCGGCACGGCGCCTGCTCGTCTACAGCTCCGCACCAGCTGTGCGATACTCGTATTGGTCCGAAACGCTGTCGTCAGCATGCGTCACTGTTTCCCTCTCTCTCCCCGCCGCCGTGGTGAGACATTGAATCTGTAAGCACGATACCTTCTCACCACACAACTCTCCTCGCGACGTCACGCATGCCGCTGACAAACGGACGCACATAATGACACCCGCGGGTTTTTGTAAAGACGAGCGTTCTACTGCTAACGGATTAGAACACGACGAACACAATGATGGTGCACTTTTCACATTCTCTGATTTGTCCCATCAGCTCGTAGTGTCGTCTGCGTCTGGACATAATGTGAAACGAAGTATAGGCGATATTGCCGCCTGCGTGGCGGAGTTGGGAACGCGCGCGACTGTCACGCAGAGAAATGGGCTTCGATTCCCGCTTGACCCGGATGCTTACTTTATTGATATTCTACACATTAAAGTTATCCCATCTGATTCAAGGCTCTTATCGAGTGTTCTTGTTCAGAACATTCCCGAACGCGATGCGCGTATGAAAGTAGCGATAAGGCGCCGCTTCTCGTCAGTCACCCTCTCGTCGTCAACGCAAGAATCGCGGCACATTTCTCATTAAGTTTGTAGGAACAATTTCGCCTCATTAAACGATTATTTTCCATTCAAGATTCATGTGCCCTTTTTATTGGTGACAACGTTTCACCATGCGAAAAGTAGATCTAAATCTCGACGTTGACAATTATGTGCCTGAAATACACAAGTTGTCAATCCATTTTTAGATACCTTCTGTACGCAATCAACCACTAATATTAGCGTACGTTTTGTCTCCTCTTTCACCTCGAAACACAGTTATCTCTGAAGGCTGAAAACAAAAGTACACGGACCGCGCGAAGTGCGAATGAAACGCAATGCTCCGCCATCTACTGACGGGTCGCCCGGTTTAGAGATCTCACACAATCGTATGCACGTCCTTCTGTGCCTGGAAGCATGCGGATTTTCCCGCTCTTCTGTGGCGCGGCGCCGAAGCCAGAATTGTGGGTGTTGTGCCGATTCGGAGATAGTACTTGCGGTTGACGAGCGTCCTCCACGGCATTCGAAAACGTGAGATACAGCTTGCGGCACTGCGCCGCATATCACAGTGCAAACGCACCTTGCTTTATAACCACTTGAGCTTAAAGCTCCTTGATACTCCTTTTTACAAGTAGGAATATCAATACAATTGACAAAGCACAATCTGGTGGAACAGAATGGCGTCATTCCGTTCAGTCCTCTGTTCTGCGCCGCCATTCGCTTCCTAAAACGTGCACCGTCACGCAGCTGGCGCTTGAAAGAATGTCGCCACTTGTAGGAAGCTCTTATCTAGGAACCTTAGTCGAGCTTATTGTTTAGTTGAACTCCCGTGACTTGTTACCTTATAGATGCTATATCAAAAAATGCGTCTTAGTTATCATGACAAACAGAACAAAACAAACATGAAATCACTGCATATTAAATCGGCAGGCATGTAGCCAGGGGGGGGAGGGGGGGGGGGCATGGGGCCCGGGCCCCACCCGAAATCTTTCATTTTGATAGGGCGCCCTTTTCCCTCTCCCCCTCATAGAGTATTCGGTCATGGCATGGAAGCTTCAAGCTATCGAGGTGGTGCTGACTTCTGCGAAATTGTTTGGAGCTTCCAATGTTCTTCCTTTGATCGTAGTATCGCCATGAAATGGTAAGGGAGAATGATGAAGTTATCAGTATGCTGGAATCGCCAGACACTCATTTGCTCATCCTTCTTTTTATCTTTGAAGTTACTGTTTATTTCACGCGGAAATGGCACACGGCATAAAAGTAAAGGTGTATAGGTCACGCGTGGACAGATAAGTGAACTCTTCTTCGTTTCAGGTCAAGTTCAGACGCAGCGACGCTCTCGACGCTTTGAGCTCATGGGACAAATCAAGCAACATCAAAAACGCAAGTCACTGGGCCCTTTTCGTTTTGGATTGGTTCAGCGATGATAGAACACGCAGGGAAACATAACGAACGCCATGATTGTACCCTTTTGACGATGTTTGATTGATCCCATTCGCTCATAGTGTCGGCCGCGTCTGGACTTAAGGTGAGGTGACTTATAGTCGGTTCACGTTATGTCCTGTGTGAACGGTGAGATATTCCTCGGATACCACAGTCGTACTCAAGAAAATAACGGACGAGGCGAAGGGGACTGAGCTGGTTCACAAAATTATTTCAGATATTCATCCGAGAACAGTCCCCTTGAAAGAAAAAGAACGAAACAACAAAGCTCTAAGGGCTACAGGGTGAGGAGGCGCTCTTAGTTATACTTCTGTACAGAAGGCAAGCTGGACGCAATCTCCTCTTTTGTGCGTTTGGGACGCGCGAAAAAAATGTAAAATATGGTTTTGCCTGCCTGGCTTCAAATATATCTGGCCTTAATATTTTTACGTTTGATTGCTTTCTCTCAGTTACCATTTTTTGTTGTCTCAGTAGACGAAGAAAGGTATCTGCTAAAATTCCCCAATGCTAGCACCACACAAGCACGTACACAAACGCATAAATACATTTAGCGCTTAATATATTTTGAAAATAATTGTTAGTGTAGTACGACAACACAACGCCCTGAGTTGGACACAAAGACGGCATATTGTGAGCATACGACGACGGCGTTGCAGTATTCAACCTCCGCTCTCTTGCCCTACACGCCTACAAGTGGTGCGCCCTATAAAAACGTGCCCCCAATCTCTACATTGCCAAAACACTGAGGTAGTTGACACTGATAGAAAAATCCTGCCTAGTGGCCTCAGAAGCCTCAGACCGCTGAAGTCTTGCTGCGCTCCAGCTTCTTCAGAGGTACTTATTTATTTTGGGGAAGGCTAAGTTTTATAGAGAAATGCTGCTTTAGAACTTGATGTTTCTGGTAGGTTCGCTTCAGGTTTCTTCATTGTTATATAACTCATTCCGATTCAGAACAACTTGAGCGATTTCGCCAAATAGGACTTTAATAAAACAGGACATATTCATTTGTACGGCGTTGCAATTAAACACAGTTGATGTAGCGTGATTCATGCAATAACCTAAAGCGCCATAAAAAAATAATACCGCATATCAAAACCAACAGGATGCTAGGTACATCCTGCCGCATGATCACTGCTTCCATAAGGCACTCACAATCTCGTCATTGTTCGGTGGGCTGTCATTGGCGACAGCTGTGGTGCACTATTCCGGCATGCGCTTGCAAAAGAGCAGGTGGAAGCTTGTTTTGTCCCCTAGTTTAAACAAGATAAAGAAGAAAGCTTCGACTGTTTTTCCCAGATTCTCATGGTTTCGTTCTTCGGTTGCCCTTTAGAACTCAATCCGAGAGATCGAGGAAGTAGGTAACGGTTTGCTGTATGAACGTGAAGAAGGGTATGTTCCTCTTGTCGACGGTGGACCGGGTTACTATTGTCGTGCTTGAAAGTAATCGTTTTTCAACTACGCAGTGGCTGCTGTCTACGCCATACGCGCTGGACGCTTCCGCTGAGGCGTCGTTTTTAAATGGGGAAAGTACATAAGCAGGTAGTAAGTTACTGGTTTTAATATCACTGCTGCTTGTAGGGACCTCTTCTAAGATGCGGTAAAGTTATGTTCGAAGCTTTCTATATAACTATCCAAATTAGTACCTTGCAGTCATTTGAAATAAGAAACCAGGTCAGGCTTGGTAGTTTATCCAGCAGAAGGCATTGCACTATCCCCTGGTCGTCAACGGCAGTCATCCGAAGGTACCCATCATCGAGGTGCCGGGAAAACAATCCGTACCTCTAATGGGGCCGTGCAATTTTTTTTAAATTTTTCATAAATTGTATTTTGAATGCATTATCGGTGTCGATGGCCTTGAAAACGTACTACAAAACGTACCAGACCTCGGAGCAAGTCGAGTGAAACCTCGCGCTGCAGAAAACACATTTCCTGAGGTCAATTCCCACCCCTGCACGCATACAGTGGTGTTTCACTACTGCGTGATGCACGTTAAAGAGCAAGAATTAGCATTCATAGTGGGACGAAAAGATTTTGCATCTACAGCGGTTTCTTCCACCACTCATAGGGGCTCAATGACCTGCCGCTGTAAACAAACGCACAACACATTTCCTTTTTAGATATAATTAAAGCAAGGAACAACAATCAGCGTTTATACCGTCAGCCTGTAAGCAGAAAAACGGGAGGTGATCTAAAACCCATTACATGCCACCAATCTGTATTGCATGCAGGCGATTGGCAATGTACAGTACTTGAGCCCCAAAATATTTGAGGGTTTGCCTTTTTATCTCGTCGAAGCCACTAGACACGCGCTGCAGCTGGAACGTCTGCCAAGGAATTAATTCTAATATACCTTTCTTGGACCTTTAGGAGACCGCGCGAATAACCCACATCACACTCCTCGGCGAGGAAAATTGTGGGGCATTTCCGATGTAAGCTAGCGACCATTCGAGGGCCTCGTATATAGCCGAAGTGATGAAATCTACTGTTTATAATCATTAAAAACTCAAAATACAAAAAAAAACAAGGTAAGATTGATTTGGAGGGGTTCTATTACCTGGCGTGATTGGCTGTTTCCGTGATTTGCAGGAACGTGAACGAATTGACGTTTTTTTTAGAGCGTGAGGAAGTATCGGCGTCTTTCTGTGATGGAACGCTGATGTTATTCTGGTGCACAAAAAAGGATAAGACAAACGAAACGAAGGTAATATTTCTGTTAGTTTCGGTTTCAAAATGCATGTGACGCTTTGGTCGGAGCTTTGGCAAATTGTTTGACAGGTGATGTGATTTTCAAAAGGTGTTCAATGCCTGTAGATGCGAGGTATCTCTTTTACCACTCACCATGGCGGGGAAGAACCAGAAGAAGATGTTACTTCCCAGGTTCGGGTTGACGGTCAGGAAGCCAGAGTAACTGGGAAGGTTCTCCACGAAACCCAGAGATCCCACGCGGCTGCTGGACTTGGCCATATCTAGCTGGCCTTTCTCGATCAGGGAGGTCAGGTACAGAGGCTGGCCGACGTTGTTGAACAGGTTGGAGATCAAGGTACCCTGGCTTGAGCAACAAAGGAATTGAACTGTAGCGGTTATACGTCTGGTTTTCCTCTAAAAACGGTAGCGAATACGTGAATAACTTTTAAAAAAGTTCTCTAACTATAGTGGTCGACAACAAACAAATTTCTCGACGACCAAACGATGTGATGCGTTTAAACAGCGGCAGATGTGCTGCTCAATTGACGATAAAGCGATGACGTTTGATTGACATTGCGCCGAACGTGCGCCATACGGAGATATGATATTGAAAGGACGTTGCGTGGATTTCGCTTCAATACGTTGCTGATGAATAAACTATTTTAAGGTTAAGATGTGTTGTCCTGCCAAGCTTAGTGGGGGAACTGAATTGGTGCATAGCTCACGTGACATCAATTTTTTCGCAAAATTTAGCGGGGAACTTGAATTTGTTTGGAGGTCCCATGACGTTAGGACACGTGGCATCAGTTTGCCCACCAAATTTAGCGGGAAAATATATTCGTGCATTGACCACGTGACGTAAATATTTCTGGTTAATTTAGGGGGAAAACTAAATCGGTGCATAAGTTACGTGACGGGAATTTTTCCGCTAAATTTCTGACCTTTGTTACGCGAATTGCACGCTGCAAGGACAGTTCGTCGCGGGTGTATCAGTGGCCGGCCGAACCGTCCACGCCGCTTCGCGGCGACATTCTGCGACGGCTCATTACAAATTCGTTAACTTACTTGACCCAACCTCCATGACATTTGTGGCGACAGCCTGGGGTGACTTGTTACCAAGAAAAGAAAAGCTTATCATATCTGCGTCTTTAAAACAATCTGTCGATGCAACGTCATTCGATTACCTGATAGCCACCGTCAATGATATGCACCTACCGGTCGAATTTCGGGAAAATTATACTTTGAGATGCCGGGAGAATAGACAGTATAGCCTAAAATTACCCCGGTTTGTGTTTGCTTTGCAATCTTCTAAGCTATATAAACGTTTAGTAGCACCTCTCCACATTTCGGAGATCGCTTGCACTTTTTTACACGTCTACGGAAGAACCCGCGTGTAACAAGCTTCTAGGAGATTTGTAATCAATATTTTGTGTTTGTTTTCCGCCCTGATAGCAAACACCTGTGCGTGTACATTTTTTTTACGGGCTTCGTCTATGTTATAATTAGGTTAATCTAGTTCGGAATGTCTTAAATAAGTTTGGAATATCCAACCTTTCACACGGTACCCCTTTAGGTCTAACAAATAATTTGCCTAAATATTCAAAGGGAACGTTAAAATGTGTTGACACGTGCCAGGTCGAACAGGCGCCCGTATGAAACGGCTACCGTATCAAACGGGTACCGCGTCAAACGGGTACTGTATCAAACAGGTCGCAAAGTTTAGCACCCGTGTGATTCAAACGAGTAGACCGCTTTTTGACCCGTTCCAATTTCAAACGTTTCTTTATTTAGTAGGGATGACAGTGCTGGCTTTCTTTATTGCAATTTTTTATTCTTCGCGCAAAGTGCGAGCCAGTTATCGCGCTGTAATATTTATAGACCGTTCGTTCTCAGAAGCTCCAACAGATATGCCTTACGCTGTTCCACCCCAGAACACCAATACGTTTTCTTTATTTAATCAGTTCAGGCAAAGAAAAGATCGAGCCGTTTCGAGCCTTCACGCGCAAGTTTTGTTTGTAGCACAGATGCGCCACCCATTTTCTATGGACACTATAATATACCTGTGGTAGGATATTGAGCATCACTGCCTGTGGGTGAACCGACGGAAGAAATACAGGTAATTGAATCAGTGTAGCAATATGGCTGAGTCGGTTCATCATGAAAAAATCGGAACAGCGCACAGAGAACGGATAAAGAAAAAAAGAAACTAATCAGGCTTGCTATCGACCCGACTTGTACAACACTCAGTACGAGTAATCAAAGTATTTTCAGTCTATTAGTGTTTGAAGTGATTTTGTAATTATTCCATTACGCTTTTTAAGCATTATTCGTAATAATAATCTGATTATTCTTGCTAGAGATAAGTATAATCGTCACCGTTGCTATTTTCCCTTCCCTTTCCTACCTGCATCGTATGTTTTTACAATCTTCCTACCAATAAATCCTCGAATCGAGACACCGACAGGGGGACGGTCTACCAAAAACGTTGAATTGCGGTAGAATCAGAAGATGGGCCTTTTGTAATCCGGGGATTTTCTAACATGTATTTCGAAATGCAAAGACTGGAATACCTAAAAAAACAGATAAAAAACTGATTCTGAAATAAATCCGCACTAAAGTATCAGGACGCATATCAAAAATACTTTTGAAAAAGAAAAAAAAGTATTTAGAAATACAAATACGAGAACTCTAATTTTGCCTGGCAGTAGCACTCACATACAGTTTAAAAAAAAAACTTTTTTGCTATCTGAACTTTTTTATTACAGGCACAGTTTTACTCTTTGGAAAACAAAAGTGAAACGGCTTTTGCCATATATTCTATTTTTTGTATTGTATTGTTTTGTATTGTATTGTATTTTATTGCACTTTTATTGCACAGTGCCGCCCGGTGTGCAGGTATTCAGGGAAAAACATGCGCCCATACTCGTTTTGTGCCCCTGACACCAGTATGAAAGCAATACCAAAGAGATATGAAAGCAATACCAAAAAAAAGGTAAACATACGACTTTGCAACTACACTCGATCAGATTTGATGCAAAGTTGCTTTTTAAGGGGCTCGTCGGTCAGGTGCTGTTCAAGCGTTCCAAAAGAGTAAATGGACACGGGTTCATATACAAACAAATGAAGACCGCTTTCACAGGGGAAACATTTTAAACCGAGCAAATGTTTTTTTTTTATGTATTTGATGACCTGGCTTGGAGGTAGTAATATGTAGGCTTCGCTGATAGGGTATGCACGTTTAGGGCAAAAAGGAGTTCTCCAGTGAAAACAAAATATCAGGAGGAATTTAAGCTTCACCTTTAAAAGTGGATCACGACAGCTACATATATAAACACCCACTCGTTCGCGAGTCGTGCAAGCGTGTCTGTGTGGCCCGAAGAATAAATTTAAAAAAAAATGGCCGCGTGGCCCAGTCGGTGGCGTGTCTGGCTCGCAGCCGAAGTGTTGTGGGTACGGATGTCCCTACGCCTAAAAGTTTAGAATATTTTAATGCAAATAATTTATTTTTGAAAGCGAAATCATTCGTGACATATGGCGGCTTTCAGTCCGCATTACATATCTTCTTTTAATCACTTTCATTTCACTGCTGGCGTCACGTTTCTCGTGAGAGTTGTGGGTTTGCAATTTTTGCGCGATGTCATGTGGCTTTGACGTATGACCCTCTCGGCCAATCCGGATTTTCGCGTCACGCCGGCTTTTCTTGCACGCCAACGAGGCCGACGCGACACGAGTTGCTTAAAAATACCTCTTTAAAACTCACTCTAACCGTGAGGTGAAGATTGAATTTAAACTCCGGCGTTCTCGAGTTTGCAATTATTTGCGGATAGAATTGCCGTTTTCCTTTTAACGCGAAGCTCTAAGAGCTAAGCGTATTTTCAATAGATTGAAAATACTTTCCATAGAGGATGCAGTGCAGTTACACTTCAGATTTACTGAATGGATTCGAAGCAATATTTCATGAACCTATATATTCGTTTTATATCTATTCAAATATCCCTGAAAGGTCAGAATCCTCTAGTCCCATTTCGGTGCCTTTTTACAGTCTTTTCAAGACGGCGCCTTGAATCGAAATAGTGTTATTTTATTTGATAATCTGAAGGAAGAAACTTTACGACCGCTCTATGAAATGAACCTGGGGGTGCCATACACACTTGACTTGTAAAGCTCGTACACAAAGTGCCTTCAACGTTTTGGTGCGATAAGAATAGTTGTCATATTGAGGCACCCCTGAAGATATATGTTATCTTTGGAAAATAAGGAAGGAAGTGACCAATCTTTGTGGTACAATTTTCGAAACTAAACTTGGTCTGCTTGAAAGGCAACCTCAAGGTCCCATTTACTGTATCTTTCTTCCCCCTGAAGCTCGAAAAAAGAAAGGAAACAGCCTCTTGAGTTTTCGGTTGGGGGTGATTGATTCCTCGAACATTGTAACAAGATAGTTTGTCCCTGTAATGCATGAAGATGCAAGTAATACGGCGAAAATGTATTCTGTTACTGAAATACACATACTGATTTAAAAATTGTATCGCGATACACAATTATAAATACTAAAAGTATTCCGCAAACACTATCGCGGTAAATTTGTATCGCAATAGCGCCCAATCCTTCCCTGTACGACAGGCCCGTTTTCTAACCGGCGGATGATATGACGTTTTGAAAGGATGAAATAATTAAAAAAGTAACGGGTAATTTTTCACGTAACTGTCAATTACTTTTTTTCTAAAACAATAGGGTATTCTAATTAAACATTTCTAACCAAGATTATCTGTAATTGTGATGGGTTACTTTTGTTAGTAATATGCACAAAACGGGTCTCACCTGAACCTAAATGTACCGTTGCGAGACAGCGCTATTCCGGATTAGTTCTCATGCTGCGTTTTCGTTCATTGTGCGAGATTTTGGCGTTTTGAGCACTTATTGATTTTCTGCGTCTATTGAGGCTAAGCAAAGCGTGCAGCAAATTCTCAGTGTAACGCGGAATGATTGCCTCGGAGCATAAAACCGAGACAATACCGGATTCCAGATGGACAGAAGAACTGTCTTTGAACTCACCCAAAAGCAGCATTCCTCGAGGGGTCCAGCCATATTAGCGCGTAGGCACAGAAATACCACGAGATCGTTCTTAGGTCACGGAATTCTCGCTTGGTCATCTTGTATTACCGCGTATTCCGCTGTAGTCTTTAAGTGAAAAAAAAAAACTAATTCCACAATACTTGCCGGGAAGTTCTTGTCCGGCTTACCAACTTTTTGTTAATTCCCTTACTAATATGCGTAATTTAGGAAACGCGGTCAAGGCCGTGAGGAAAAACAAATCATTGAACTAATTGGTGGATTTGAAAAAGAAATGAGGCGGCGCAACTTTCAGAAGTTTCGCTAGCTAGAACCGGTGAGGTTTATGATGTTCGCATCTGAATTAATGTAGGATATATCCTTTTTGTTTTTCACTTATTTGGGGCACAGATGTTAGCTTCGTTTTTCATTAACTTGGTACAATGGTATATGAACTTTTGCGTGCATATGGTACTCGCAGTTATTTGTGCGCTGTTTGAAGGCAGACGGAAACCGCTCCAGCCCTACTCCGTTTCACATTAAATCGAACCGCAACAAACGCACACAGACGACGAGCACCATGACCAAGCACATGTTGCGCTGCTTGATTGACACCGTGAGACCGCAGTGTTTGCTTCGGTCGTACTTATTATGAAACGCAGACTGGGTGGGTTGTGGATTTTGGGAGCGTAAACCTGGAGGGGCAATTAACACTCTAGATCTGTTGATAAAAGTGTCTTGCGATCACCGAAGGGGAATCATCTTGTTTGGAATTAAAAACCTAGTTTACAAGTACGTTGTGCGATAATTGTTCCATACGAACTCAGAGGTTCGTAACGGCTGTTATGGCCGCACTGTTTGCGCGTAGTATGTTTTGGTATAATAGTGATTTTCTTCTACGGAGCGATGTGTGTAATAGGTTAGTCATAAAATGAATCTAACCACTTTAGAGATAAACAAAAAGTGAGGGCAATACCTTAGCACATCCGCCAACCTTTTTTTTTTTTAAATGTCGTTTCATTTATTTTTAACTTTGGTTTCACCGTCCAATGTGGTACACACTAGGCAGATGTTGTTGGCTCCAGATAGTGGAACAAAAGGCAGTTCGTGGGAAAAGCACAATGGGTACAGCGGAGGACTACAAAATATTAATCTTTTTCTGTCGCCTTGGATTACGATTTTATTTGCACGATCGACAGTTCTGACCGTCTGGACTACTTGAGGCTACATTTACTCGTAAAATAATAGTTCCAAAATACCAAAACCAAAATTAACATTCGTGCCTACAGAGCGTAAGAAGGGTCGGCCTTTGAGGTGTGGCGAGACCGGTTTACGTTGTAGATGAGAAATATAGCCACTGCAGAACGACTGCTAGCTTGGCGTCTCGAACGTGCATCAAACAGGAGTGACACACGACCGCACCCGTCTATGATAAGATGCCCATCCAAATCGAAAGGGTAGGAGTAGGGATTTTTCTGAGCTGCAGTATGTTTCCATACTCGGTCACCAGTGCTTGATACGCGGCAGGCACGTAGCCAGGATTTTGTTTCGGGGGGGGGGGGGGGGGGGGCCGGTCATGGCAAAATGCTGTATGAGGGGGAGGGGCGAGAGGAGGTCCCAACAAAAGAGAAGATTTCGGGAATGGGCCCAGGCCCTATGCGCCAACCCCCCCCCCCCCCTCCCGCCTCTGGCTACGTGCCTCGTACGCGGGCCAAGTAAATCCTGCAAAAGTGCGCATTGCACCAGGTCCTGATGGTATCCCAAACCGGATACTTAGAAAATGTTCATGTGTCGTTTCAGTGATTTTGTACTTGTTAATCATTAAATCACTCCCGGGCAGTTGTTTGCCCAGCGACTGGAATAAGACAGATATATTCTATGAGCATTAAGGCGGTCCCGAAAACAGCGTAAAAAATCAGATTAATTTAGCTTCCAAACGCATTCCTAACTTATGAAACACGATATTTTCTCTAGCAGTATACAGCATTTAGCACTCCAACCTTCTCTTGACACGATTCCAGCATAGATTTCGACCAGGTTTGTCATGTACAACTCGAATGGTCGAGTTGTACTATTACTTAGCGTACACATATAATAAAAGTATTTAATCTAATTGTTTTTTTTCGGGATTTCCGAAAAGCGATCGACTTTGTGCCGCATGTATTTATTCTTGATACGATAGAGGCACCAACGTGAGAATACCGTTCTCGGAGGGTTAGCAGACTATGTGAACAGTAAGGACCCACACAGTCTGAATTAAAGACAAAACTTTTGATTTTATGCCTGTTATTTTTGCCGTTATAGAGGGCTCTGCTTTAGGAACGCTTTCATTTTTTAATATATAGTAACAACGCAGAGCACACATTTCTTCTTCAATACTTCTAAGCGCTGATTACTACCTTTGGTATCGTGCAGTAAGTGCCATTCGGGTATTTGTTTCTCTAAGTTCAAGTTCAAGTTTTATTCGCCTCAAAGACGTTCGTTCGAACGTATTACATGAAGGGGGGGGGGGGTAGAAAAATACAAACAAATGCAACGATAGAATGGCAATCAAAGGACTAAGTAAGGTTAAAAATTAACAACAAATAAAAACCAAAAACAAACTATATAGAATTCAGAACAAAGTTTACACAAACCGGGCACAGCAGAACTGGGGACCCAGCGCGCAATTTATAGCAAACACACGCAGACATGGCGCTGAAAACATATCATAGTACCAAAGCCGAAGATTTTTAGCACAATATTATTTCGTTCTGTTCAGTGACTATGTCATTCGGGAGAGAAGTCCAATTTTAATCAACAGAGCAAGAGGAGAGAATTTGTAACTATTAGTGCGACATAGATCGTTTGACATCATTCGACATTGATCTCATAGCGAACTGGTGATGGATCTGAATGTTCAAAATCTTCTTTTCTGTCCCGGTGTTTTATGTTCTTCACATTGTCTCATTTTATCAAAATGTAGCTTTGTATGGTTCACAAAAAGCGAAATCATGTCATTAGCGTGTACAGCACTAATATTATTGCGATCAGTTTCTCAGTGCGCTTAAAGTATTTCGGTTTCCACTTCTCGCAGATTGTGGCGAACTGAATGTAAGGCTTTATCAAACGCAACTTCAGATACTCTGCTCGGGAGGTTAAAATACTCTACCTCACAAATGTGAGACCAATTCATGAACATGCTTGGGAATTCTGGGAGCCTTACCAGCAGTACTTAATCCACAACATAGAGAATATGCGAGACAGGCCTGCACAGGTTGTTTTAAATTCCTACCGGTTGTGTAAATATTGCCCTAAAATCTGAACATTACTGGGAGCCGATTCATTATTATCAAGAATGCTTCCGCCTAGAACATCTACACAGCAGTATTTATGAAACAATGCTGTACCGATAAAAGAAAATGATTACTTCACCCTCAGTTCATTTTTCACGGATGGGATAACTAGAAGAAGATGTCTTTTTTTACGTAGAACGGACATCTTTAAAAACTCCTTTTTTCATGCACCACTCAGAACTAGAATAAGTTAACAAGACATATTATATCGCAAAAAAAAATCTAGCAATTATTTCAAGTTTTGTTCAATATCTAAAACTTCAATTATATCACATTCTGTGTAATTTTGGTTGTGCGCATCAGCTCGTGTCGTAATGGTAACTGTTTTTTTATGTATTCTGTTCGCTGCAGGCCGCGCGTGCTTTTGTCGGGTACATGATATACATAAACAAATGAATAAAATTTTATAGTTAGAACGTAACGGTGGCCATTGAATTCCGGTAATGACACGACGAGTTCCACGAGAATAGTTGCGAGCGGAGATCTGTAAGAACAAATTTCGCCAGGTTCGGTGTGGTATCAACATCATTAGCATAAATACTTTATTTGTGCGAATAAACAACTTATAATTGTCTGCAATGTGGCACAGTGAAAACTTTGCGAAGCTGTAAAACGTGCTCCGCTATGAGTTTTTTTTAAAAATGCAAATAACAATAAAAATAACTTGCAAAAAAACACGACAGTGCGTTGATAACAACGCAAAAATAATCTCATCTAATTGTCTTTTAAGATTTACGTAGCTGCCAAAAATATCAAAATTTGTAGGCCCAACAGTGTTTACACATATCTGCATTCCTGTTGTTGGTAATACTGCCGCGCTCGCAGCTGGCCAAGTAGGCAGCGCGCGCGTGGCCTAACGGTTATTGTGCCTGCCTCCCATGCGAAAAGCCAGAGTTCGATTCCTGGGCGCGACGCATCTTTTGTTTATTCCTGCAATTTAGTATTCTGGTAAATTCGAAAATCCTGTTGCCGGTTTGAGATCGGAATGTTCTACGCGTCGAACCTTCTACGCCGATCATTCCAGAAGCCCACCCGTGTACATAAGGGGCTTCGCGTGGCGAGCCAAAGTCAGTCTCGCCCCAGCGCTCGAACCTGCTGTTACGCCGCCATAAACGCCCGCGACGCTCTGCTGTTATCTTCTGTTTCCTTTTGTTTTGGGCACAAGTTCGCCCCATTAAACGTTTAGTTTCTTCAGTTATTATAGCCTCATCAATTGTCATTCGTGACAATACATGTGTTGATTGTGGGGATACAGAGTGATAGCTCTCCTATTTGAGCGAGCCGGTACGTTCAAATTCATTCTGCATAAACCTGTTGAGTCAGTACCTCACTGACTCTTTTTTTATGTGGAAAGGCAACATCGCGCGATAATCATCTGATGGATAGACATCCCTACTGAAGAAAAAAAAACAATTTGGCACCTAAATGAAAGTAAACAGGTCCATAACGGTAACAGTTTAGCCATATCGGTCACCAGTTTGTCAAAGCGGTCGCCCGTGTGACTCAAAGGGGTACCCCGTATAAACCATAACGTTCACCTATTTGGACAAACATTTCACTCCTTTGGCAAAGGGGTCGCTCGTCTGGCCAAATGGGCCACTCGTCAGGGCGAAGTTGTCGCACGTCTGCTGAAACCGGTGACCATGTTGCACAGACGGGTGACCGGTGACCGTCAAACTGTACCAGTTTAGTCAAACGGCTCTCCGGAGCCCGTTTGATACTGAACGTACAGATCGGCGGCATGGGTACGCCTGTTTTAGCCGTGG